AGCATGGGGTAGAAGGGAAGCTTAAGGTGGCAAACTTGCACCTAGACTAGAACTTTTACATGTCTTCTTGGAGCTCACACACTTTGGGATATGGAGTGATTGCACTTCTATCCCTCATTGAAAGCTGCCCAGGCTGTGAGCAGCTCAGCAAACACGCCCTGGCCCAACCACTCAGCACATGCTTCAAAGAGGCAAAGGGTTGAGCAGAGTCTGAAATGCAGCAGATGGACCAAAGGCAACCATTAAACCTGTCAGAGGCTTTGTACCCACTGCTCCTCCCTAAACACAGGCCAGGAAAACCCATCTCTCGGTCCATTTCTGTCTTTCTCTGTGGAACAGATGTTGCTAACACCAATCTGGGATGCCCTGTTCCATGGGTGAGACCCAGCTCCTCTTTTCCATGATTTTTTTTTTTCTTGGTTTCTCTATCTTCCAATTTACCTGACACGACAGGAATCACAGTGAACTGCTGGGATCTCCCTACAGTCACATTTCTTAATCCAAATCCACATTACTGCTGCCTTCCCCACCTTCCACATCTATCAGCAAAGTGCTCTGACACATTCAGAAAACCTCTGCAGAAGCTTTTTCCTCAGGCCAAGCCTCTTAGCAAAGGATCTCCTCCAAACCAGCCCTGCTCCTGTGTCCCCTCATCCAGCTTTCCCCACTCCCTTACCATGGATTTTCTTGCTCTTGGGGAAAACGAGCACAACCCTCCCCTTGGGTGTGGACTCCTCATCAGGTGCTGAAGGAGTTGCACCTTTCTGATCTCTCTCAGCAGCTTCTCTTTGCACTCCTGGGTGAAGGTCCTGCACTCTGCTCCTACAGCAGGCTCTCCACCTCCCTAGAGAGCTGATTCCTGTGCTTTTGGAGAGCCTGGGGAGTGATATCCCCCTCTCACGTGCACTTTTGGGATCACTGCATTGCTCTGCCCTGCTGAGCTGTGTAGGGGTTAATGAATTCGTGCTTATGCAGCTCTTTGAAGATGAAAAGTGCCATGGCAGGGCTCTGTTATTGTTACCATGTATGAAGAGGTCTGTACCAGACCCAACCGTATTGTGTTTGGCCACTGGATGTCACAGCTGCTCAACACACAATGCAGCTGAAAGCAGAAAGGAAAAGTGCTTACCCAGCAATGGGCAACAGCAACTTCCAGAGCCTTTCCTTGTTCTGTGCACAGCCTCTGTTTGTCAAGGGGCTGGGGGTTTTCTCCTCTGTTTGTGCCCTGCTCATGTTGGTTTTCAGAGGGATTGAGCAGCAACTGTGCTTCCTGTGCCTGTCATTACACTGTGAGGTCAGGAGCAAAATGAGTGTTTTTATGGGAGGAGGTGCAGATATGTATAAAACACCAACAGCACAGGGAAGGTGAACAGGTATTTGCACAGGCTGACAAGCTGCTTTTTCACTGAATTATTCCCTTTCTGTCCCACCACCATCCAGTGCACAGCACAGAGCCCTGGAATGATGGAAAAATTTCCTCAAGGCCCCCCCTCTACAGCACTCCTTCAATCCCCACGTTCAGGCCACATTCCTGTGTTCCTCACACTAAATGCAGAGGGAAGTTTGACCTCCCCCTTCCTAACCCTCCCTTCACGTTTTGGGCTTTTTTTCAAAGTCTCAAGCAGAGATCCAGAACGTGAAGCCACTTTCAGCAAAGTCCACAGAGCAGCCCTACAGAGACATTACAAGAATTGTAATTACATTTCCTGGAAATGAAAACGAAGAGGGATTATTTGACAATGTTCTCTGCTTTTTATGGCATCACACTGTCCTTTTCTCCACCTTGGGGAAACAGTGAGTGAAAAGCTGCTCGTGCCCACGGAGCAGTGAGGTGATAACCACCCCAGAACTGATGTGAACATTAAAAAGGGAAAACTATTTTAAGATAATCCAAGGGTTATAGCTATAACTAAGAGTAATTGGCTGAAACTGAGCAAAAGAAAATTTAGGTTGACAGTGAACTGCAGGTAGATAATGCTGAGATCTGTTAGACCATGAAATGGAATCCAGAGGGAACCTCTCTGCTTCAAAATGGGCAAATCCTGCTTTTAGGAACACTGGTGTAAATCTCTGGTGTCTGTCTCTGACTGCCTCAAAGCCCATTTCTACCACAAAGCCTCAGTAGAATCAGTAAGTGTGTCAGATTTTGTAGCAGTAGAAGGTAAGAAGGTGTCCCTGCCCACGGCAGAGGGTTGGACTGGGTGATCTTTAAGGTCCCTTCCAACCCCAATCATTCCGTGATTCTATGATTAAATTTAGTCACACACATCAAAATATTATATAGGATGAAGGAGGTCTGAGGGGATTGTGTGAACTGGAGAAATGAATTCCAGCACTTTTCTACCTCTTGTGATCTCCGTATGTACTTGAAAACCAGGGGGGGCAAAAAGAGGGGGGAAAAAACCCACATGGGAAATTTCAAAGAAACGAGGGTGAGTTTTGGAAGGAAGATGTGAAAACATTACAGGAATTGCTGCATAAAAGAATCCCCTGTTTCAATCTGTGCAGCTATTGCCAGCTTTACTCGTGGGTCTGGGCCTGCCTGCACTGGCTGATTTTGGTCTTTCATAAAACTTGTGGATACTTTCACTCACCCAGCACGACCTCAGCAGACAGATCTCTGTTTGAAGAGGCTTTAGACTCACTTAGGAAAACCCAGATAGCCTGATTGAAGGCAATCTGTCCATCTCACATCAAACAGCCTGTGCCTGCTCAAATGTTTGCTGGACTGGGGAGTGATGCAGCTATTACTGCAATTCCTGACGAAATTCCTGCTGATTCAGAGGGAGAGGAGTTAACCCTTTCAAGTTCTGGGTCAAAGGAGCACTGAGGTTTTGAGCCAGCTACTTCAATGCCATGTCAAGGTTTTAATGTGTCTCCCAATACTCAGAATGTCAGACTTGAGCCGAGCTTTAGGCCAGCGAGGAGAATAGCCCTGGAGAAGCAGGATTTAAAAGATGGCAAAGAGTCAGGGAAAACTGTAGAGATAAAAGTGAAGTGCATGGAAGCCAATGATGTGGGATAAAAGGCTTATTTCCTACTGTAGTCGAGGCGGGAGGGGGGAGGCTGAAGTCTGTGTGAAAGCAGCCTGCCCTTGGGAAGAAACAGTGCCAGGAATATTCATGGCTGAGATACACAGCTTTAGATTTTCTCACTGGATAAATCCTGTTAGACCCACAGTCCTCACCTGTGAACCACTAGTTTATCTCAAGTCCTGCTGTGCTAACTGGAGTTCCTGAGCACTGTGTCCATACTTCTCCCTAGCAATTATTTTGGGGTAGCAAAAGAGCCTCAGCCCAGCCAGGTTTAATTCCACACACACTAAAAAGCCTCCAAGAACCAATAAGCAGTGGATGATGTGTGCAATACTTTATACAGGGGAAGGACTTCCATAATATTCAGCTTGTACTTAGAAGCTGAATATCCAAATATATTTGAAGAACTTAATGAAAATCATTGCTCTGTCCTAACCCCAAAACGAATTCATACTTTGAGCCCTTAGCAAATCCTCTCCCAGGGTTGCTGTGCCTTCATAGGATCATGGAATGGTTTGAGTTGGAAGGGACCTAAAGATCACCCAATTCCAATCCCCTGCCATGGGCAAGGACACCTTCCACTAGACCAGGTTTCTCAGGGTCCCATCCAACCTGGCCTTCCAAAGCAGGTTGGATTTGGAAGCTAACTCAAGCTAACAGAGATGTGGTTTTAGGATGTGCTGAGCACCCACAGCTCCTGCTGATGTCAAGTGAAATGTCACGAACGTTGCAAAAGCTCCATTAAAAATTAATTCACTGTCGTCTCCAGTTTCCTGGCACCGGTACATTCCCTAATGGGCTTTATTCCAAATCCTTTGTGCAGGCTGGGCTGGCTGATCAATAAAGCACAGGCAAGGGAAACAGCTTGTCACTCTGTGCCATCCATTTCCACCCTCCTGGTGCACACAGGGAGGTGACAGGAGGGATGCTTCAGTGCAGAGGTGACCTCCTGGGCTTGACTCTTCTTCACACCCTCCTCTGCTGCTGTGTGGAATCCTGAAGTGTAAAGAGGTATAAACCCCCAAAATTTCTCCCTCAGCTAATTTCAAAGCCTATTTACCCAACTGGATACACAAGGATTAAGAAGTGCATTGCAGGGCATGTTTGCTTAGTTTAGTCCTTACACAGTTCAGTGCAACTGTCAGAATAAATGATTTCTTCAGAGGAGAACGGGAAAAAAACCACATTTGGTTAATCAACTCAATATTACAGCAGTTCCCAAAGATTAAACATGCACTGCACAAACCAGCAGACCAGGAAAGGCCTTTTAACGCTGACAATTCACTTGCAAAGATGAATAAAAATCCTGCTTCTGTCCTTCAGCTCAGCTTAATCCCGGAAATCTGAGTTCCCGTGCAATCTGTAACTCACTGTGGCTCTTACTGTTGAATTGCTCCTTGTTGGGGGGTGGATGGATGATTCCCTTGATCTTTAACTGTGGCTGGTCCTGGGAGGGTGGTGAGGTGCTGGCACAGGTTGCCCAGGGAAGTTGTGGATGCCCTCTTAGGACTTAATATATTCATTTTTGCCTAAAAAGGTTTCTTTTCTCTGAAAAAGGGGCTTTCCCTTCTTTCCAATTGGCCATTGGGCAAAAATGATGGATCTTCCTTTGTTCTTAGCCCAAAGAGAGAAGAGAAACCCCTGTGCACAAAATTCTCACGTGGCCCCGAAAGATTTTAATTTTTAGGAATTTTTATATTTCCCTTATCCGGCCGAAAAAGACCCTGACAATCTGGGACTTGGATATCTTACAACTTCGCAATACTCCTATAAAACCATATTTTTATTTCTCATAAACCCACTGGGAAACTCGGGCAGTCCCTACAGCCCCAAGCCTGGACAGCTACACGGGGTTTTTTGCATGTTTTTGGGGGGTTTTTTTGGAGGAGCTCTGTTTGGGTCACCACATCTTTTTGGATGAGTTTAGAGGCCTTGTCCCCATGCTGGGGGCAGGCACCACGTCTGAGCTCTCTTAGCAAGTGTAACAACCAGCAGCTGAGCAACTGCAGCACCTCAGCGCCCTACCTGCCCAAACTGCCACCCAAACTGCCACCCAGCTGCCTCTGAGCTCAGGATCCCCCCTGTACAGCTCAGTCTCACCCTCAGCCCTGGAATTCCCTCACTGCTGCTGCCTCTGACCGACTGAAAATCCCCCTACTCCTGAAAATCTCCCGCCTCGTTCCTGAAAATAATTGCAAATCTTATTGCAAGTGGCACTGAAAATAATTGCAAGTGGCAGGGACGTTGTGAACAGCAGTGCTGAGGTGGCACTGACCTGAGTTTGCTCTCCTGCCAGATGTTTGGTGTTGCTGCCTGTCTTTGGGGGAAGCTGTAGCTCTTCTCAGTGCCAGGTGAAAGTTCCGTCCCCGCAGGGAGGAGATTTCTGCTCCCCTTCTGTTGGGGGGCACTGCTGGGCAGGAAGGGCTGTTGGTGGTACGTCATTCCTGGAGGGAAGAGAAGGTTTTTCAGAGGGAATGGCATTTGCTTGGTAACAGGATACAAAAAGGCAGGCGGAGGATCCATGGGCTGTTCCCCAGTTCTGCCAAGTGACTTTTTTACCGGGTGTTTGCTTGGGACACGTTTTTAAGGAAATCAAATGTCTGAAGATGCACAGAGCAGCTGCTGAAGTCCACGAGAGCATTTAGACATCTGTCACCTGCTGGTTTTTGTTTGAATTCCTGTATGGTTTTTAGAAAGCAGTCAGGGTTTCAGTCTCTTGTATCACACCTGTTTGTTGTTTTTTTTCTGAGAGCTCTGAATTTTTCAAAGGTTGCAAATCCCTCCCATTCAAAACTAGATGTGCAGTGAGGAGGGAAGGTGTCAAAAGCAAAATGAGTTGAATTCTAAAGGCTTGGGGGTGTGGAGTGCTTTTAAACCTGACCTCAAAAGTCTGATTTTCACAGGGGCTAAGTGTCTACGGTTTTGATTTCTAATAAGATTGCAAACACTCCCTTAAATGCCTTCTGCCTCTGTGTGAGGAGGAAACAGTTGGCTGTCTCAGGACAGCGTTTGAGGGTCTGTGCTGGGTATATTTGCTTACAAAGCACTGTTTTACCAATACTTGCAACAAAGCTTTTCAACCCATGGATGAATGGACAGGAAAAGTGGTCAGACAGCGACTCAGATCAGCGCTGGCCATAAGGGTGGGGGGGGATCCTGTCCTGTTTGCAGGCACAGCTTAGTTAAGAGGGTCAATAAAGCTGACTGTCCAAATATATTATCTCCGTGGTGTTGTTTGCTGTTGTTGTTTTGGCTGGGTGAGGAGAAGGGCAGGGAGGGTGTTGGAGAGGCCAGACCTGCAGTGAATGGGTGTTTTCGCCTCCTGAGGGTTTTCAAAGCTCTCCCCACCTTGGGTGTCGCTGCAGGTACAGCCAGGGACATGTGGCTCCGAGCTGCCTTCTTCCACCTGCTCCTGCTGCCCCTGAGCTGCTCTCACCTGGTGCACTGGACTTACAAAGGTAATGAAAAACGAGGCTGGTTTGGGGTCTCTGCTGCTGAAGATGCTCCCTTCCCTTTTGTGCTGCAGAAGCAACACTCAGCTTGACTCTCCCTCAGCAAAAGAACACAGAGCAGCTAATTTATTCCACTTTATCGATGCCTCTGTGTCTTGAAAGTGATTCTCTTCAATGTCACCCCTTTTTACTCCTTTGTGTGGTTAGGACACGTTGTCAGGGTTGGCAGCAAAATGAGGTTCAAACAATGAAGGATGTCTTTACTTGTGTTAGAAGAAAAGCTGCCCTTTGGATGATCCTGGAAGGAAAAGCTTTAAATACGGCCTACTTCTTATTTTATTGTCACGTTCCAGGCAGTACAGAGCACTAAGAAGTCCTTATTTGGGCATTTATGTTTTTTGTGATTTTTTTTTCACAATTGCATTTGTTTCAGGGAGTTTATTGCAGGGCTCACTGAAGTAAATGTTAATCCTTTTATGATCTTCGGTGGGCTGGTAATCAAGCTAAAACAAAGGATGTTGTTGAATAGTTGCAATATTGCAATTGGTCTTTCCCCAGTTAAAAATAGCAAATTGCTGCCAGTTCCTGATCCCAAGTAGAGTCTTCCTGCCTATTGCCCTGATCCTATTCACTCCCACCAGGTTGAGAACTGAATTCCACACCTTTGGCAGTTGAGCCCCATTTAAACCCCCATTTCCATACAAACACTGCTCCCCTTTTGGTGGAGGCTCAGTCTCCAGCCATCATTAAGCTGCTGCTGCAATGCAGGTTTCTTACTTTGCAGCACAGTTGTCCTGCAGACAGAATAATGTGTATTTTCGCTCTAGGGAAGGCAAAGCAACCTTTTACTGCTGCAGCTCCTAGTGTTACAGTAATGAGATCAACATTTCCTGCTGGCAAAGGAGGGGAGTTCTCCTACTTCCGACTAACAGCACTCCTCACCACACCTCTGTAACCTCACCTTGCTTCCCCTCCTCACAGAAGGAGAGCTGGATGAAGAGCACTGGGGGAAGCACTTTCCAGACTGTGCTGGCAAGAGCCAATCTCCAGTTGACATCCAGAGGAAAAAAGTGAGGTACAACCCCCTGCTGCTGGAGCTGGAGCTGAACGGTTACGATGGGCCTTTGCAGGGGGATTTCAAGATGACCAACAACGGTCACTCTGGTAAGGCTGGGGGGGTGTCAGGCTCATGGCAGTGCTCAGGAACACTTCTCATTTTAACTGATGGAAATGCTATTCACAGACAATGCCCTATTTTTATTTGGATTTTTTTTTTAACTCACCTTACTTTGCCATCTCACTTGGTTCCCCTCCCCTAGTTTTGCTGTTTTCCCCCTAATCACCCAGGAAAGCTCTCCAGAAATACATATATAAACCAGACAAATAAAGGGCAGTTAGGTTTCTGCAAGATATTTTCTCTGTCAGACCTGAAAAGGGGATAAAAGGCAGCCAGAGCATTCTAGATTGACCCTTTCTTTTAACGTGCTACAAGACAACAGGACTCCAGCAGTGTGTGGTATTTGGGGCATACTGACTCCTCTCTGCATTAAAAAATGCATCTTTTGGCCCTGTGCATTAGTAAGAAGTGACAGGAATGGAAACCTTTGCATCTTGTTCATTTAGATGAAGGTCACACAAAGTACAACACAGAGGATCCCTCCCTCACAGCCAGAGGATGGGTGTCTTGGGTCTCAGGAAGGGAAAATGAAGCACAGCACAGGTTAAACCTTGGCCTTTGGCCACACAGTGTCAGGGCAAGGCTTGTAATTTAGGAGATCCCAGACTATCCTGCTGCAATCTGTAATTCATTGCCTAAATAATTCATCAGATGGTACTGTTGGGATAATGCTTTTGGACCACAGATGAGCAATGAGTGGATTTTCTGATGGCTGCAGTGGGGAGAGAACAAGTGGTTTTGGGGAGGCGCTCAGGACATAAAACTGAGCTCTTTAATCCTGCACGACAGTCCTTTCTTCCTCTCTGTGACAGAGAGAGGGGAAATATGGTGTGAGAGCAAGGAGATGAAGTGATGAGAGACAAAGTGCCTTCAGAGGAAGATTCTGTGTCTGAAAATTGTGCCTCCTGTTTGTGGCCCCCACACAAACTCGGTGTTCAGCTCGTGTCAGCACTGCTGCCCTGCCTGCCTAGACATTAATTCTTGCAGGTTTAGCTTTTCTGACTGCACGTGTGTGTCTGCCTGTTCTTTTGTTAACTTCCCAACAATGATTTTCCGGTGCAGGGCAGTTTCCTAAAGCACAGGGACAAACGGCTGAGCCCATTCACAGCTCCTGTGAGTCAGGCTGGGATTTTCTACTGGCTTCAGTGAGAGGGGACAGGGCAGCAGAATCCCTCAGGGAAAACACTCAGCAGATCTGAAAGATGGATTTATCAGCAGGACTCTCCTTACAGGCTCTCAGGAGCCAAACCCTAATGTCTCACCTAAGAAACCAGATATATTTTCTCTGTAGCTCTATTATTATCAGGCTAAATCCCACCTGATAAAGCCTGTTTGCAGTAGTGCAGACTCTGTGTGCAGACACACACAGATAACCTTGGGTTAATGAAACCTTTTGCATTTGGACCTCTCTTTTTGTTTTAGAGAGGACTGGTCATCTAGCAGGTAGTGAGGGCAAGCACAGCTCTGGAAAGTAGAAATCCCAGTGAGGTACTTGATGTAAATAACCCTCATTATGGAAGGCAGGCAGCAGAGATCTCACGAAAAAAGGTAGATTTTTTCCCCCCCCTCCACTCTAGACCCTTTGGGATATTACAAGGAAACACATTTTCATCTTGTCCATCTGTAAACAGCTCCCAAACAAAAGAAACTTCTCAGAAACCCAAACTATGACTACTGAGTAATATGGCATGCTGCATTTTGAAAGGATAGTTGCCAGTTTTTATGACACGCTGTGGGCTTTTATTTAGATGAGGCAAATCTCCATTTTCACTCCTAGATTTGGCATATTTATTAACATGAGACATGATTTGTGGCAGTGAATTAGCAGGAAGACAAATGGTTCGTAGCTTCTTTGTGAGTACTCCTTGGTAAGGAGAAGGAAAGAGATTTGTCTCCACAAATCCTTCAAGAAATAAGCAGCCTTTTCAAACATACAGGGCTCCTCCCAGTATGCCTGTTCCTAGAAAATGCAGAGTCCAGAACACTGGGAATAAAGACAACAGGTTAGATGAGGCCAATCACTTCGTTGATTTCTATATTCCCCTTTTCTTCCTGGGAAAGGAAGTAGTTAAATTTCTGCAGAGCCCGGCAAGAAGCGATGTGCTGTGCAAGAGTTGATCACTAAAGCACTTTAATTAGCGCCTAATGACAAACCCGGAGCTGCTCAGACTGAGGAAGAGTTTGCAGGCACAGCTACTGCCCCTGGTGGGAGCTGTGGGGCACAAGCCTGAGGTCAGGAAGGATTTTAAGCACATCCAGCTTTAGGCTCAGTGTTTTCCCTTCCACGCTGGGGTCGGTTCCCGAGATGTCCCTGCTCGTTCCAGAGGGAGCAGCAGGCACCGTGAGGGGATCCACAGGAACGGGTTGGCTGCACCCAGCGCTGTCTCCAATCTTGGCAGGGGTATTTTTTTCCAGTTCAGATCGATTTGCCACCCACCATGAACATCTCCAGAGGGCTCCCAGGCCTCTACACTGCTGTCCAGATGCACCTGCACTGGGGTGGCCTGGACCTGGAGACCAGTGGCTCCGAGCACACCATAGACGGGCTGAGGTACTTTGCGGAGGTACGTGAGCAGGGTGGGCTGCAGGGAGGGGGCACTGCACCTCTGCCAGCTGGGAAACTGGGAGCTGCAGCCCACAGAGCCTGCAGGAAGCAATGCAGAGGCCAGGGGCAAGGACAGGGCTCCCAGGAGTGCAGGTGGTTGGTGCAGTGCAAGGGCTGAGCCCGACGGTGCCGGCACAGGACTGTGAGAAAAGCCATTGCAAGAGCACTGATGTCCTTCTAACATGGAGATTTCCCCCCACATTCATCACAGACCTATTAAATCAAAGGTCTTCTTGGCCATACTGTGAGGCACAAGCAGCAGGAATTGGGATGGTGGCTCTCCCTGCAGTCTGCCCTGGGCAGCACCCAGGAAGCCACTCATCACTTGTTGCTGAATGACCTTGTCTCTCTCCTGGCAGCTGCACATTGTCCATTACAACTCTGCTGACTACTCAAGCTTCGAAGAAGCCAAGGACAAACCCAATGGGCTGGCTGTGCTGGCCTTCCTCTACGAGGTAGGTTTGATGCCCAGGGATCAGTGCCTGTGCTAAAATCTCAGTCCAGACACAAGCAGCCTGTGCTGGGTTTGTACATCTGTCCTAAGAGATGGTGTCTGCCACCAGTTTAGGGAGCTGTGCTGCAGCAGGACTGTTATCCCTGAGGCCATCTGGGGTTCACACAACACCAGCCCATACATTTTGGGAGCCCCAGGAAAGTTTGCCCCATAAGCAGTGCAGATGGAATATCAGGTGTGGGAGCTGCTGTGCATCAGGCCTTGCTCTGCTTTGCAAATGGGAACACTTGACTTTGTGTGGATTTAAAAGTGGTGAAAAAGGACCCTTACAGTTCCCTATTCTACCTGAGATCTCTGTGTACACACCTAGTCATGGCCAGCATTGTCCAGCCCATCAGATCTGTGATAGCATCTGTTCTCTTTATCCCCCAGTTCATCAATTAGTCCCCCCAGCTGATTAGCAGAGCAGAAGGACAGGCAGGTCACAAAGCTTTTGATCAAGGTTTCTGTGCTGTGTTTAGGATGGGCACTTTGAGAACACCTACTACAGTGAATTCATCTCCAAACTGGCAAGAATCAGGTTTGCAGGTAAGACCTGGGAATGCCTTTCTCCACCCCTGATATTCTCAAAGCCTGTACATGGGTACTGGGTCTGGGGACAGACCTCTCCCTGCTGCTTTGCTGGCAGTTCCATGGCTGAGCATCCTCAGCCATGCCCAGCTCCACACCATCCCTGCCCACATGGCTCCAACAGCAGAAGGGTGGGGGGGAAGGTGCTCAAGGCAGCAATAAATAGACTCCTGGTAGGTCTGCAGCACCAAACACCAGCTCCCTGCTGTCTGTACACCCACTGAGACTCTCTGCCTCCTGGGAGGACCAGCAGGTACTGGCAGAGCACTGGGGTGCAGGTGCCCCCCACCCTCAGGACCAGGTCCCTCCAAATGACAACCCACAGACCCACTGGAAGGGCCACTCATTTCTCTCCATCTCCATCCATCCTGCCAAAGGCCTGATAAACCAGTGCTCTGGGCAGAGGGATTTGCCAACCCCGGCTCTAACAGAGCTTCCACCTCTCTCCTCACTCCCCATTAATTGCTGATGTTGCCTCTCTGCTCCCTTTTGAGGTCAATCCACAAAGCTGAGTTCTCTGGATGTCCAAGCCATGCTGCCAGACAACCTCTCACACTTCTACAGGTACCAGGGCTCCCTGACAACCCCACCTTGCTCTGAGAGTGTGATCTGGACCATCTTCCACTCCCCAATTGTCCTGTCACACACACAGGTAAGTGGTAGCTCTCATCAGCTGCTCTTTCCTCCGTGCTTCACCTTTCCTTTTCTGTCCTCCAGTGATTTTGGGAACAGCCTGACAGATGAGATAACGTGGCATCTCTCCTACAGAGCTTTTGGGATAGATTCCTAAGCAACTGGAATTACAGGTGGCTGTGATGACACTGTGGTGCCACATCACACCAAGGGTCAGGTGCTGTAGAGCAGCAGGTTACCTGAGGTCAGCTAACTGATAACAAAGCTCTCTGCTCTGCTAAGCTCACCCTGAAGCACTATAAAAAGGAAAAGACCAGCCAGAATCAACAAGGCAAAAACTACTGTAAGAGAGTCCCCCCCAAAAAACCCAAAACTACCATAAAAGAGCCATTCATAACATTAAAATAATTACAGAATAGTTGCCACATTTTTATACAGTATTTCAGAGTTTTTCCTTGCCTAGACTAACATTGAAAGTAATGCTTTTAAGCTAATAAAGGAGCATCAGAAACATTTCTTTCTAGGAGATAAAACTGGGACTACAGCAGTGGAGGATCACTGTGTTCCCTTTGGAAAAGAAATACTCTGTCTGGCAGGGGGGAAGGCTGGAAGGCACTCCTGAGAAAGCTACAGCACAGCAGCAAAATTTCCATGCATGCATTACCATCAGATGTTCAGAACTTCCCTCAGGCAAAATACCTTTATCAGGAATTAGCTGATAAGAGCCCTCATGTTCCTTTCCCTTGCTAACGCCCAGCCCCAGCGAGAGACCCCTGAGGATGCCTCTGGAACGAGCTGTTGGGTTTAATCCCGAGCTGCAGGGATTTCCCTGCGCTTTTTGGGCACAACAGTTGTTCCCACTGCCCTTCTAAAGATGCCCTGTACTCCTGCCAGATCAGCCTCCTGGAGAACACCTTGCTGGACTGGGAGAACAGGACCCTGCGCAACGACTACCGGCACGCCCAGCCCCTCCACGGGAGGGTGGTGGAGTCCTCCTTCAGAGCCAGACCCCCCCAAGGTAAGGGCTCAGCAGGCAGGACTTGGGCTTACCTGGGGAGGGGTGAGAAACCTGCGTGGAAGGTGTTCAGCTGCGAGTTCAGATGTGCTGGAGATCAGCTCTCCCAGGAGCAGCAGCGTCCCTGCGCGGGTGATGTCCCACACGCCTCCTCTTTCCCTGCCAACACACTTGGCTTCTAAAGGTGCAGTGGTGGCTGCAGGGTGTGTGCCAGCCTGTATTTTGACAGTTTGGGGCAGTTTTTTGACTGTCACCCACATCTCCAGGGTAACTGGTGCTACGTGGCACCACAGGAGGGTCCTCAGCTCAGGTGTGTCTGGGTGAGGTGTTTGAGCAGCCGGGCACCACAGGGAGGAGAGATGCTGCGTTTCAAAACAAAGGTTTTCCCCCAAACTAGAAGATCTAGTGTAGAAGATCTAATAGAAGATGTAGTGTAGATGTCCTGGCCTTCTGTAAATTCACCTGTCTGATTGCTCTAGCACAATGCCATCCAGAAGAACTCACCCTCAGGCTGGATCAAATCCAGACGCAGCTCCAGGACATGAAGACAGAGTTGCTGAATGGAGGGAGCCAAGCAGGTAAAACACACAGCTGTGGGGTCCAGCTTACCTTGGGAAGGTGAAGAGCCCACGCCCTGCTGCCCTTGTTGGCCTAAATCATTGCCAGGTTTGGTACTGACACGTGCAGGCAGAATTTTGTCCCGTATCTAGGCCTGCTGATGGAAATTCTTCAATTAAAGAATTGTTGTGGCCAGCCCTAATGTAGATACTCCCACAGCAACTGCAGCTTTCTCCTGCAACATGCGAGCACATTTTTACAAGCAGTGAAACATTTAAGCTCACAGTTCCCCCAGGATAAATAATTGTCACCTCTATTTTATGCAGTATGAGAAAAAGAGAAAGAAGGAGGGGGAAAAAAGCACTTTTCCCAAACAGTTGTGTGAGGGAGCTCAGTTTTTCATTGTTTCAAGCCTCTTCCCTGTGGGCACAACACACACCAGTAACTGTGGCTCAAGACAGGTCAGACTATGGGTGCAGTTCTTCAGGATTTGGGCTTATTTATAGGCACGGCAGGAAACGTAACTGGTGCCTTTTTGGTTCTTTCAGGTATTAAACCCAGCACTTTTCCAGCTTTCTACTTCCCTGTGGAAAACATTGAGAGCTTTGTGGATGTCCACCCCCTCCGTGACATGTCCCTCCAAGCCTTCACCTTGTGTTTTTGGGCCAGATCCCAGCACCCCGGGAGCCAGACCGTCCTGTCCTACTCCACACGGGAGAGGGACAACGAGCTGCTGGTGACCGTGGGCACAGAGGTGGGGCTGTGGGTAGGAGGCCATTCCATCAGCTTCCCCCTGCACCACAAGGCACAGGACTGGCTGCACTACTGCCTGGCCTGGGCCTCCCAGCCGGGAATGGCAAACCTGTGGCTCAACGGAGCGGCCGGCAAAGCAGTGAGCGTCCAGAAGGGGTATGTGAGCCAGGCTGGAGGGATGCTTGTCCTTGGAAAAGACAGAGACACTCTCCTTGGGACGTTCTCCAACGGTTTTGCAGGGTGGCTGGCTCAGGTGAACCTGTGGAGCCACGTTCTCAGCCCTGCAGAGGTTCGGGCGCTTGCGCTGTGCAAACCGGGGCAGCCGAAGGGGGATGTCATAGCCTGGGGACAAACCCCCATGGCCCTCCTGGGGGGGGTGGTTCTGGAGGCTGACACCAGCTGCCAGTGATCCCAGCTGCTGGTTCTTTAATTAAGGCATCAGGAGATTCTGAACTGCTTGCTGGGGGAACTGAGAAGAATTGAGATTACTGGCTTCTTTCTCCTTCTGCTTTGTATGGGCTCACCGTGCCCCTGCTGCTGCTCCAGGGTGTCTGTCCAAGAGAGCAAAGCCTCCATCAGTGGGGTAGAGGCAAAGAACAGCAGAACTTGAGGCACAGTCCAGCACCTTGGGCTGTCACACCCCTCACAGGAATTTTAGATCCCCCTACCTAGATCCTTCATGCCAAAGACCTGCTCTCCTTGGTTACAGGAGCCACTTTCTCAAATAAAATTTCTGTCCCATCCTTCACCCAGTCTCGCTTTCTCACCATCCTCCCTGCACATGTGTTTCCTTCTGTTTATCATTGTCCACTCACCACCCTTCCCCTGCAGACATATCACAGAGGAAAGGGGATGTAAAGCAGCTCCTGTGCAATCCTTGTGCCCTGGCCAGGGACAGCCCTTTGCCTTCTTTTCTGTAAGGGATGTAGAGACAGAACATGAAAACAGTTTCTTTTTCAACACATATATCACAAATTTGAGGGCAGGTATAAAAGTAATTTTGTAAGGTTAAAGTAAACCATGTGAAGGACTCTCCATCAACACCACCAAATCCATGCCAGGCTGTTCAACAATTCTGCTTTTTTCAACACAGAGGGCAGCACCCTCAGACAACAAATTAAATTTAGTTTCCCCATGCTAGACCCTCAAATACATGAGTGACAGTTCCTCAGAGGAGTGTGGTGCTGGCTTGTGACAAGACAAGGGCTGGCTTGTGTCTCCAAAGGTGTGTCAGTCAGGAGATCAGGGACATTGGTCACTTGGTCACAGGAACTGGGCTGGCTGAGGACATTGTCCTTTCCTGGTGACAAGAGGTGGAACTGGCAGCATTAGGTTTGCATTTGGACTCGATGGTAAAGGTCTTCTCCAGCCTTAAGGATTCTGTGATTCTCAGAGCAGTATCAAGTGATGAATCAATGTATTTGTTTTCCCACTAAACAGATCCTGAGGGATGTCCCTGCCAGGCCAGACACTGGGCTGTGTCACAGCTGACTGCTAAAGCTCATCGTCCTCTCTTGCAGCCCACCCGGGACAGCGCAGAAATCCTTCAGCTCTTCCTTGTTTTCCTGAATCTCCACTTTGTTCCTCTTGGCCATGATCCTGTTGATTTCCATGAAGGTTTTGTTCTTAGTCTCGGGAACGATGAAGAAGATGTAAAGTGCAGTGGCCAGGCAGATGGCACAGAAGATGAGGAAGCTGTAGGGCCCCAGCCCAGCCTAGGGCAAGGACAGGAGAGAGCAGGGATCAGGGAAACATTCCAGGTGGGCAGGTACATGGCTTGGACATGGTGCACCCTGCACTGGCTGTAAAAAATGCAGCCACAGTGGTGTGCATGTATTTTAAAGCTGAACAACTATAAGTTAGGGTGGTTCTAGATTCTGTCTTCTCATACCACCACCATGGGTTTATTGGAAACACCATGAATTTAGTGGAAAAGGAGGGTGAATCAGGCTAAATCAAACTAAATCAAAGTGAACTCACCAGCTCCCTTTGCACAGGCTAAAGTCAGCACCTGCTGCAGTTTGTGGGTCACTACTGGGGGATCAGTTTGAACTGTGGACCCAGAGATCAAAATTAAAATTGGCTCCCTGAGAAACACAGGGAAAGATGGGGAATTTGCCATCTTTTCCATGCTCCTGAGTTCAGGATGAGACATTCACCTGGCAGAGTAGCTGCTTTCTTTTAAAGCCTGTGCAGCAGACAGGTGTGATAAGAAAATGCTGATTAACATCAGTTTCTTGCCCTTAACATATAATCCTACATACAGGTACTGGGAACCAACAGGGGCATTTACAGCTTTTGGGATTAAACAGGGGTGAAGGGATTAATTTTAAGCTGAAGTTTTGCCCTGTTGTGGGGTTGTATCTCACCTCCATGTAGAGGAACACGAGCCCCACGGTGAAGTTGCTCAGCCAGTGCACAGACCCTCCCACCATGAAGGCTGCAGGCCGGGATGACTGCAGGAACATCTCAGTGATCATGACAGAGGGAACTGGACCTGGAAGGCAGTTGGACGTTTGGAAATCCTGAGGGCAGTTCCTCCACTCTGAATTCTTGATTACACTGGTTTGTTTTTTTTTTCATTTCAACCATTTGTTCAAACGGTTGAAATGTTAAAAAAAAATGTTCCAGCCACTTCAGTGGCAGGCAATGGTTTCTAACTCCTAAGTGTTTAGGAGCACTCAATAAATTAAATAAGGATTAAATTAAACCCCCCCCCCAAGTAAACAAACAAACAAAAACCCAGAGCAATTAAATGACTTGTGTGGTGCGTGGCCACACAGAGATGAAATCCAGTGTCCATGGATGAGCTCCACAAAGGTTTTGGGTTGAAATGGAACATAACACTTGGCTTTAGCCAGCTTGTGGAGCAGACTGGCCAGGCTGTGCATACTTACTGGGTCCTATGGCATGCCCAATGATGTAGAGAATGACACAGGCTATGCTGAGGTAGGACATCCAGGACACCGTGGTCTGTGAAGGATTGAATCACAGGTTAGATGTGGTTCCTATGTGAACACCACCAACACATCCAAGGCACTATTTGTAATAAGATTTGAAGGCACTCTAAAGCCAGTGTCACCCTCCAATGCCAGATGTGTCCATAATTAGCCACAAAATCACAGCCTGGGTATGATCGTTGCTGCCAACAAATGGATGCAACGGGTGTTAGGAAGGTGACATGCTGCAAGTAGTATTCAGACAAGCAGGATCACAGCTTTTCAAGAGGTACTTCAAAATATAACCCTGGCCTGCTCCCTGGGAAGTCCAGAAATGCTTGGGTAGGATCACCTGAGCCATTTGTACAAACCTGGAGGTTGAGGGCCAAGGTTAACACTGCACAGGAAGCACAGCACAACGAAAAGCCAGCGAGGAGAAGGATCCTCCTCCCCAGGGATTCCACAATGAAAACCTGAAAGAGACAGGAGAGGGTGAGAGACCCAACACCTGGGGTCTTTTATTCCAGGTGCCTTCACCCAAGGGACACCACAGGACACCTCTTGTGCAAAGCACCTCACCCCATGGGTGAGTAACATTCTAGTGAGAGGTTTCCCTGCCCACGGCAGAGGGTTGGAAGGAGATGATCTTTTAGATCCCTTCCAACCCAAATGGTTCTGGGATCTCTGGTTTGATGAAAATAAATTAAACAGACACAGACAGGGGAGACTGGACAAGTCAGAGCTCAGAGAGCCCCAACAGAAACTCACAGCAAGCAAAGTCATGACGACGTTGATGGCACCTATGGACACAGTGACATACTGGATGCTGCTGCTTTGCACACCTGCTGACTCAAAGATTCTGTCTGCGTAGTAGAAGACCTGCAGCAAAACCACAGCTGTGTTTGTATGTGGCCAAGGGCAGAACGTGGGAATCCCATTTTGGCTGCTCTGCATCCTGTCACTGGTGCACCGAAGCCTGAGGACTGAGTTATTTTATTTCTGAAGACATTGTTGTTTGGATCCGGGCCCAAGCACTCTAAAAACATCCAAATTATCCTTAACAGGACAGCTTGATCCTGCATCTGTATATGAGCCTGACTCTGTACCTGTCTGTGCTGAATTTGGTACTGGCCAGGGTCAACCCACCACAATATGAACCAGTGTCCTGGATGAAGGGCTACTCCTGTGTCCTGGATTTTATCTCCTGTGTCAGCACTGCCCTGCATCAACAACCTCATCCATCCCTTCCTTTCCACCCCACTGCCTTTCCCTCTTCCCACTCACCCCATTGACCCCAGAGAGCTGCTGGCCCATCATCATGACGATGATGGAGATGAGCTGCCACCTCAGGCCTCTGAAGGTGCACAGGCTGAGCACAGAGAACTGCCCTTCTTCCTTTTCTGACTGGCCCTCTTGGAACATTTCTTCTATCTCGTCATCCACGTCATCGCAGCCTCTCAGCCTCTGCAGGGCTAGTTGGGAGAGGAAAGTGAGTTTTACAGTGAGCTCTCCTGCTTCAAATCAAGACAGAACAAGACAATGTAATGCTGGGCAGCAGTGCCTCCGTGGTGGGAAGCTGGGGATTCACACATGCAGAGGAAGGAGCAGTGCTGCAAGAATTCCACCTTCACCACCAGTGAGGAATTTCACGCTTTGCCATCAGCAGTGTCCCACAGTCAGATCCATCCAGTTCCATCTCCCCTTCCATTAAAGGATGACACTGTACCTTGTCGTGCCTGCTCTTCGTTGCCCTTTTGGAGCAGCAGGTACCTGGGACTCTCAGGGAAAAAGGGCAGTGTAAGGAGCTGGATCAGTGATGGGATCCCCGTGAGCCCCAGCAGCACAGGCCAGCCTGCAACCATGGAGACAGGACAACAACAGTGAGAAATCCTCCCCCTACAGAGCCCACAGCAAAGTCCCCAGCCAGAGCTTTACCTTCAACATTCCCCAGGATGCTGTTGAGACCAAGGATCTGAGCTACAAGGATCCCGACGGTGATGAAGAGCTGTGGGACTATCCCAATAGCACCTCTGAGATTTCTGGGGGACATTTCTCCAAGGAACATGGGAACCACATTGGAAGCCAGACCTGGTAGCGAGAGAACAGTGTTAGCCATGCCTGGTGTCAGCACACTCACAATCTCCAGCGAGATGCTGTTTTCCTGTGGGGGGCAAAAGAGATTCCTGATGAACCACAGCACACGCAGGAACTCCACACTCAAACCCTTCTGCTCCAGCTGGAGATTTGATGTCACCTTCTGGCCAGTGAATAGGCTGTGCGTGTTTTCCTCGCTCTCAGTGGAAGAGGGGACAAAAACCACGTGGCACTGGGTCATTCAGTATGTGGAGAGGTACAACATCCATCCCTGCAGCTGCTGCCCTCAGAAGCTCTGGCCCTGGAGTGCAACCTGCCCATCTGCTGGTGCTCTGAGCGTCGAGGTTATCAACTGCTCAGCTGCAAAGCATTTGAGGAGTCACAGGGTGAGCAGGAGCCTGTCTTGGCCACAGAGCCAGCAGATGATTGAAGGCTCTGTGTTCATCTTCCTAAAAGCAGCTTTCTCCCAGCAGCTACTTCAGCACAAGACACACAGAAGAAAATTGTGTAAGGGAGGAACTTTTACTTCCACTAAAACAAGAAAAGAAATCAGTATCCAATCAAGCTGATGTGAGGGTGGAAGGAAATGACTTCGTGTTGGCTCTTAAAAACTCGCTGCTCAGTAACACTTTGCAGAGAGCTTTCTGGTCTGAGATGTCTTGCAACTGGAATGCTGGAACAGGGATTTCTAATCCAATCAGGACACCAAGGGCAT